GCTTCTGAGGCATTTAAGTTCCAGTCTTCAGCTTGGAGTTACTGAATATGAAGCTATGACAGATTACAGGTCATTTGCAAGCTCTTGATAATGCAATGTGATTTGAAGCTGCTTGCCCCAGTATAAAAGAAAAGCCAGGTGCTTCTGTGTGCTGTGGACAAAAACGTAGCCAGGTGGTTGCTGTGAGGAAGCCTGTCAGGTTTGCTTGTGTGCAAAGTATTTTGAAGTACCTCACTTGAAACAGTTATAATATACATGGTGCTATTGTAAAAGAAACAGAAATGATTGAAATTAATTTCAACAAGTTGAAAGTAAGTTCAACTCTGAGAATGCATGGGATTGCCTTAGATTCAGGATCATTTTCATATATAAGAGAATTAGTAGATTCTTGAATCTCCTGTCATTCTAGGTACAGAACCATCCTGGTATTTGTGGACATCCCATGTGTGCCATTGGGATTAGTCACTTCAGCTAAAGGGTGCCAGAGAATTTTCTGGGGTTTTTTTAAATGAATTTATCCAGTTGATGCATGTGCACAAAGACTTGGTTTTGCTGGGTAATGAATGATATATTGGTTAGAGCCGGCTGGTATCAATGTCTAACTCCACAACACGTATCGTGGAAAGTCTCCCATGATGCTTAGATTGGTTGGGATCTAGTGAAGGGTTGTGGTGAGAAACTAGTGCTGATAGCAAAGACTCAAGTTTGGAGTAATGCAGCCTGTGACTACGTAGCTGCAGTCCCAGAAAGATTGCCACAGCCTCGGTAGGCACAATGCAAGGCACTGCTCTCAGGCATTTGGCTTCCAGGTTTGTACATGTACATTTTTTTCTGTACTCTTCACCAAGGATCCAGCTTAGCTGCCCTGAAATGCAGTGGCGAAATCTGTGCAACTCCCTTGGGTGCCCAGCTGATTTGAACCACACAGTTCATCTGGTAACAGTAAGTGACAAGCTGTTGACTTAGGGCTCCATTGACTGTGTGCGACTGCAGAGCAGAAGGCATATGTGTTTGTGTGTGTATGTGTGTGTGAAATTGGGCATCCAGACTGTGAAATGCTGTCAATCGGCAGCAGAGCAATCAGACAAAGAGCTTTTGTTGCTCTCTCTTCTCTCGAGGAGCTTGTTGTGATCAAATATGCAATCACTGTGAGAAGGAAGCAAAAGATCCAATGTTCCTTTTATATATATATATGTGTGTGTGTTTGTGTATATATATGTGCACACATGTGTATATGTTTTTCATTAGTAACACTTGGATATTTTTCCTGAGTGTAATTGAACTTGAGTTGGAGGGTATAAAAAAATCAATAAACATCAATAATGTAATTTTGTTTATTCACATAACAGTCCTCATTTAAATGTTTTAGTTTTCCCTTTAGTGTCTGAAAATGAAAACATGCATGCCGGAGGTGAAAGGAATGAATGTATGGAAAAAGAAATAGATAGCCCATCAAGCATAATCATTCTTAGTTTATTGAAGTCTTCAGCCTTGGGGTTTGGGGAGCTGGGGGTGAGGCAGAACTGAATGCAGCAGCAGAGCCCATGCTCAGCTGATAGGTATGTTAAATTTGTGCAACCTGATGCATACATACTACAACCTGGTAATTTGTAGCAGCTGAATCTGAGCATGAGACCTACATGCCAGCTTCTTAGAACTCACACTCTTTTCCTTGTTTGCCAACTCGGCAGGGATATATGTGGATAAGCAGATTTGGAAACAGCGCTGCTGTGTTACCTCTAGAGGGACCACCAGGACCAGAGATGAAGCCTGGTAACCGCGGGCCAGCAGCTCAGCTCTCTCCTTTCCCTTCCCTACCTGCTCTGCCTGAAGACAGAGAGCCCCAGGCGTCACCAGATCAATAATAACGAAATCCCGAGAGGAGAGAAACCGAGGGAAGCAAAATTTTGACAGGAATTACACTGGCAACGTGCAGTGTTCAGGGAGGTGAGAAATCCCTCCCAACAGGGCTCGGATGTGTCCTGTACCGTCCCCCTTCTTCCTCCCTGTGAGAGGACAGCGTAGACAGATGATTGTGCTCATGTCGGCAGAGTGTTATTACTCTCTATCATTTGTGTTTGCGGTTCAAACCACTTTAAACCACCGTCCCTCTCCCGTCTGACCTCTGCCGCCGCAGTCAGGGCAGAATGAGCCCTCAGAATATCGGGGGTTATGTGATGTCTGGACGTCTCTGCAGCATTTTGTCTCTGTGTCTCTGCATTAAGCAGTTGCACTGTGAAAATTCTGCTGGGATCAGTTAGAGTAGAACACTTACCACTTTCATGAAAAATGAGAAATCACTCACTGGCCTCGTTCAGAATAAATCAAGGTAAACATGGTTTCCTTGTTACCGGCTCTCCAAACTAGTCTGAACTTGCTCTTCAGCATGACTACACTCTTTCAAGCAAAATTCTTCATAGTTTCCTCCTACTCTTTGGCAAATGTGTCTCCATGGTCTTTGATTTATTTACTTTTGATAACTACTTACAGTTAAATGCTTTGACCACATTTTCAGCTTTTTGTTCTTAAACCTCTAACAATGGGAGGAAAAAAGCTTTAAGTATATATAGATATATAGAAAACACACATATGAAAACACTGTGTAGACAGTTAAAAGATTAAGTTGAATGAAATTTGTAATAAGCAGAGTCTTTCCTCTTTAGCTCGGAGCTCTGGGTTGTGGTTGGATGACCACACAATGCACATTTTTTTAAATTGTGTTGCTCGGTCCTGACTGTTGACATAGTCATGTTCTACCTAAGATGACTTGGTGTTGAATTTACTGATATTTGGAGAGTTGAAACCTCTGTTTGCTCTTCATCTGGAAAGCCTGGACTAAGTATCTTTAAGATCACACTGAAATATGTATCTGTGTTAAGGAAAGTTTCCACAGGAAACTGGATGGTCCTGTCCGACCATCCAGGAGCCACTCTGTCGGTCACTCTCGCACCACCTGAGCTGGGACCGAGGTCCCATCGCAGCGGCGGCTCCAGCGAGCCGACGGGTGCCCCGCTTGACTCCCTGCACTCACCACACTCACAGTCAGACCAGGTTTCCTTACCGGCTCGACCCCAGCTTTCCCATAGCAGAGTCTCAGACCTATGGATCCTTAAAATAATTTAATCTTGGCTCAACAAAGGAATAGTCAGCTCGAGACTGACCCTCCGAGGAGGACCCCTGAACAAAGGAAATCCTGGGGGTTTTGTGTCCTTACAGTCTGTGCGCGTGAAAGTCTGAAGCCATCGGTTCCTCCGGTATCCGAGCGTCCGCTGCCCCGGCCGGTGCCGCAGGCCTTTTGTTATGCAAAGGGAGGCTGTTCACGGCCTCTTTTCTCGGACTCCCACCACCCAGAGCTCAACTTGCATCTTGCACACCCAGCTACATGCACCAAATGTATTACTCAACACCTGCGAGCCCTCAGAATAGTCTGACTGTAGCCCCTCTGCATCAGACTGGAAAAGATTGAAGAACACTGGAAAAAACGGGGGCAAACTTTTACAGGTCTACACCAGCTCTGAGGGACAAACTCTTGAAAAAACTGAAGAGGTGAGCGGCCTGGTTATTATGTGTTAAACTGGTATATTGATGGTTTGGATTTACATGTTAGCTTTGCAAGATGTCACTTATCTGACTGTGAGCAGGTCATTTAATCTCTTTAATCTCCCTGAGGTTCCATTTGCCACCACTGCAATGCAACTGACTAACGCTTCCTAGAGCTCTGAGCACTGCTACACCTCGAGGTGGTGGAACACTGCGGGCATTGCTGCGCTCACTGGCCAGTGCTGGTCTGCTTTGTATGCTTCTGCTGTGCATCCAAAGGAAGACAGGAGGGAAGGTGACTTTCTGGCATGTTTTTATTCCCATCTCCTCTCACTGGATGCCTAATTTTGTGGACCAAAAGCAAGCAGCTGACTGCAGGGGACCAAGTACCCCTTGGTGATTGCAAAACAGATGATCAGAAACAAACCAACTGCGAAATTCAGGAGACCTCCCAGACATAGATTTTGTTGTGTAAATGATAAAGGCCAACAGGTACTGTAATGTCTGTGGTTCTAAACAGTGAAGTTCATGTGTTTTCACTGGCTTGGCTCACATCCCTGGGAAAACCCTCTGCTGGGGGGGTCTTTTAGGTGAATGAACTGTGTCTGCCTGGGGCTCAATCAGACACTTCTTGGTTCTTCTCCAGTGGAAAGGGGCGAAGAGGGAGAGAGGGGACCATTACATAAAAAGGGGACAGCTGTGGTTGCAGGAGGGAGTTAGCATTACCATTGCATTGCTTGAATTTGAGATTCCTACTTGAGAAACAAACTGAGAGGCTTGCATCCAGACTGGCCACTGTGGCAGTAATATCTGAGCAGAGAACCAGGCAGGCAGTACAGGTACTGAGACCTTCTGTTTCAGAGTGATAACAGTAGTTATTGAGTGTTAAGGAAAACTGGACTAATAGTTCATCCCTTCTTTCTCCAATCACCTCGCTTAGTAGCCATTTTGTTTTTCTGTGGGTATTAGATAATTAGAAGGCAGTTTTGTCTCTTTTGCTCTTTCTGCTTACTGGAGTTCTAGCTACCATGATCATGAAGCACCTGCTTTTCTTCAAGGCAGGAGCTTGAGATCACAAATCCTGCTCAATAGTTTTTTGGTGATAGTAGGAGAATTTCAGACAATCTACTAAGAACAGGAAGCTTTAATCTGGAAACAACAAGAATTAAAATATTACACTTAGTGAAATGTAGGTGAGTGAAAGACGATTGAAGTGGTTTTTTTTCTGGTAGTGAACTTAGATTACAGGATGAAATACAAAGACTCAGGAAATGCAAGTGCAAAGCTTCCTTGCACTTCAGAAAATCTTGGTATTGAATCCTGTTAAAAGCTGCATTTGTGTAGCCCATTTCATAGAAGGGTATTTCACAGAAGGCTTTTCACAGAAGGGTATTAATATTTCCATTGTTTTTTTCTTCCAATGTTTGACTTTCATCTTCTTTAGTACTAGCTGCTTTCTGTTCATAGTTCTGTTGTTCTTGTGATCTGTTACTCTGCAAATCCAAGCCCTACATGCAGCAGTAAACTAGTCTGCTGTCAATTAATCTGTAGTATCTCTACTGAATCTACCCAGAGTAAAATCTTGTTTGTCCACTGCCCACCTGTTTGGAGAGAGCCTTCCCTTTCCCACTCCCACCTTGTCTCACTCAGACTGACAGATGCCTTTAAAAAGAATCTGATGAACACACTTTTCTTCTGGCAACATATTTTGCAGCACTGCAAAAAACACAAAGAGCAGGAGGTTTCACAAATTAATCTCTCTTATTTTGTTTCTCTCCAAAACTATTAATTTGAACTGTAGTATTACATCTCCTGAAGTCTTGCAAGGCAACTTATAGAATTGCACTTAAAGAAATGGGCTCTTGTGTCGTGCCACAGGTCTGCTCTTGATCTTCTGGATATCTGTGTGTTACTCATGGGGCAGAGAAATGCTGGTATTTTCTGGTTGGTGTAGCTATATATCCCATTCATTGAGAATGTCTAGCAAGTTTCAAGCTGGCCAAAGCTATTTTTTGACTTTCCTTTTTTCTGGAGAAATTGTTCCACAGAATATAGGCCACCCTGATGGTCTGTGTTGCTGTTTCCGCCAGTAAGTGATGATACTTGTCTTTTCTGCATGGCTGGGTGGTTACTGTTGCTTTCCAGCAATCAATGTCCTCATGGAAGGAGTTTTGTTTTCCAGGAAACCTTTGAAATTGGTTAATTCCTTCTGTGAAATAATCAGCTCTTACTTTAATTTCTTCAGACCATAATTCCTAAGTGACTTCTTTTTGCAAGCACCTATAGTTTTCTCCCTGCTAAATTATAAGACCAACTCAAGGGTTTTTTTCTTGCAAACAGCCTCACCCTTTCCTACAGCTTCCTTATTGTGGCAATGTATTTGCCATATGCAGGATGGAAGGAGTCCTGTCAGAGATGGATTGGTGAGGAAAACAGCTCAAACATTATGGAGACAGAAGTTTTTACTGTGGTTTAAACATGTTTCAAAATGGCTTTTTGTATTTCTGCAGTGTCACTGTCTCCCTCTCCCAGACACCCCCTGTGAAGCTATTGTCTCACACAGAGTGTCCTGGGAAGGTGTCCTGAGGTGTTTCTCATTGGTCCTTTGTTAATCCCTTTCTATTGGTTGTTGACCCTTTACCTGATGGTTTTTTCTGTGTGACCCTGACCTTGTGATTGGTCCCCTTTTGACCCTCCTAAAAGCCTTATAAACCCCAACCCCACAATAAACTTCCTCTTTCCTCCGTCCCTCCTTGTGTGGTCTGTGTGTGCTCCTTGCAGGGTCGCCGGGCCACGTGCAGGGGCGGGGGGAAGGGCATTCACCTCACAGGTTATGGGGCCAGCATCCTAAGGCCTGGAGGTCTCCCCAAATCCCACTAATCCGCCGTACCTTATAGTTTGGGTATTATCACTTTCAGGAGAAGACAGTGGAGATGAAGGTGGCTGGGTTTTTTCTGGAGCCATCCTGTTTTTGCATCCTGTAGATAGAGAGTAACCAAAGAACAGGAAGCAGTTTCATAGCAACCATGCTATTTTTCTGTCTCTCTTTTGAAGACTATGCAAAAATAAAGTATCAGAAAAATTGCAGCAACAGCCCTGTGTAATGACTTTGCTGTTCTCTTGGAGTGCTCCTTGGATATTTCTTCTGTTTTTAATCTCTCAATTATCTTGCTATATAAACCGGTCTTTCACCACTCTCACCTTTAGCAGATCCTTGGAAACCCCCCCCCCCAGTATTCCTGTCCATTTTCTCCAGAGACCTCTTCTGGGGATGGTGGTTTTCCATTGTTTTAGCTATTTTTAAACAAAGGGACATTACCCTCCTTTAGCTGAAAGCAATGTAGGTATCACAGTCAGCTTCAGAAAGGTGTTGCAACTCCGTGTTTGGCAGCACATCAAAATAGAATAGGTGTTAAGGATACCAAAATAACCTGTTCTACTGCCCAACAGGTTTAAAGTCTTCATTATTGTGCACTGAGTTTGTTACCGGCATTGCTGAACACGCAACTTATGCAAGCTTTTGCTTGCATGAGTCTCTTCTACACTCTTGGAAGCTTCTGCAGAATTATGTTCTAAATCAGTTATATGCTCACAAGATGTGATTTCTCATTGCTGCTGTGAAGGAAAAATATTCATGTTTGCTTTGATTGCTTTGCATTTTATTTGTTTTCATATTTAATGTTATATTCTTGTAATTTTTCAGGCAGCATGGTCAGACAATTTTTTTTTAAAATTTCTTTGTTACAGAACACTGCGTAGAGGTTAATTTTCTTGCAGCGATTTCCGGGCTTTTAATGCCAAAATCACTGCTCAGAAAAACTGACTATTTTATATTGATCTTCCATCTTTAATGCTTCTGCTGCTCTGGACAGGATACACAGATCTCTTTAGAGGGATTAGGGAATCCTTAACAAATGTAGGATTTTGTTTCACTTATTTTTCCTGTACATCAAGGAGGTCTGGTGGCTTTTTTGGTTTTGGCTTCGTTTTTTCCCCTATTTGTTTGGGGGTTTTGTTTGTTTTATTTTTGTTTGTTTGTTTTTAATTTTGAGTACAAATACTGAAGCACTTGAAAAGCTGGTTCCCCCATCCAAGGTAAGAAAACCTGTTACTGCTGTGGAGATGTCCTTCTGCATTATATGGGTTGAGGTTTCCTATTATTTATTCTTCAGAGAAGCATATATAATAATAAAAATAATTTATTCTTTGAAGAAGGTTGACTTTGCCTTCTTGGATGAGGAATGAGATGAACCTTTTATCCACAGGTTGTGTTGTAGCTAGGTTTTTAGCCTTCCAAAAGGATGCTTACTCCCTCTGCTTCTGAAACTGGAAGCAACTTCAACCTGGCTGCCCCATATGTCACATCAACATCCTCAGACCCCTTTTTCTTCTTTCCCTGCAGGGCTGTTACAAGAATTAGCATACTTACCTCAGCTGTTCCTTGGTTTATCAGATGTTCAGAGCTGAATGTGGCAAGTCTTAAACACTTGATATACCTATTGCTGGTATACTGTATTTTCTTGGTGTCTTCCTTTAAGTCTGCTCTTCCTGTCCCATCAAACACAGAGAAGGAGGCAAGACTGAGTTCTGGAGAGTTTAGCTGGCAGACAGAGAAATGCACTACAGACTGCTCTGTAACCAGGATAAGGAGATAATGTTAGTTGTAATTAAAAAGTCTGTTTTCCAGGTTTGAGGGCAGATTTAATATCAGGGGACAACATCCAATTTCCATAATACATGCTAAAGGCAGCTGTGAACACATCTCCAAGGAGTAACATGTGTGTCCCTTTTCCCCAGTTATGTCAGAGTAAGTGGGGGCTAGGTGGGAATGACACCAAACTGGCATGTTAGCTTTGCCCTAAGACACTTCTGAAGCATCTCTTCTATGATTTTTTTATTTATTCAGTAACTAATTTTCTACAAGTACTTTTTTTCCCCCTTATATACTGGTGGAAAATCTAACAACTCCTTGAAGTTCCACATTGCCTCTCAAACAATGTAGCATCTCCAGTCAGCAGAGCCAAGTGACTGACACGCTATGGTTTCAGCTTACTCCCCTTAACTCTTTTGCTCTTACATTGCAGTTTCACACCCACTATTTTTCCCTATTATGTTTTGTCACTGACTTAGGCCAAGTGTTCAGCTCTTTGTCAGATCCATCAGGGCTTATAGGAATGTTTATTGATTCAGTAGGGCAGTAAAAATAATAAGCATTAAATGATGGAATGGTTGTAATCATAATAATGGAAAAACACAGAACTGCAGAGGATCCTACAAAACAAGCAAAAAAAAAAGGGTAGAAACTCATGAAGCAGAATAAACAAAAAAAGGACACTGAAAGGAAGAGAAAAATCCAAGATAAAAATGTAAACAGGAGCAGATGGAAAGTAACAAAATAAGAAGGTAATTTTATAGGAAAAGATATAAGAGATGGTGAAAGTGCAAGGGAAATGTTTGAGGATGGAAACAACAAAAAATACAGAGTTCTGGCACTTCTTATTCAGACAACATTTTCTGCTGCCTTTCCTGTTAAAGATTTGGAATCTGGCTTTGAAATTTTCATGCAGAAATTAATGAACTTCAAGTAAAGAAGGTAAATGCATGTCATAAGCATTTTTAATCTTTGGGGAACTTTTACCATTATTATTGGAAAAAAATCTATTTGCTTGTAAGTATGTTTATAAACTTAGCATATTAATTACTTTAAAAAAAGTAATTGAGGCTGCCAAGTCAAGTTTGCTGGTGATACTTAGTAAAACTGAAATTAATGAAGACAGGAGGTTCTTCTGAAGAATGGCAAAAAACTTTCATGCTATTATCAGGTGATTAAATGGACAATGACATTTGTGTAGATATGGGTCAAGGTCATGCACATGGCAAGAACCAATCTCAGCTTTAAATACATAGTGATGGAGACTGAACTAGCTGGTACTGTTCAGGAACTTCAACAGGCAAGCATGTAAAAATGTAACCTCAGTGCTGAATGGCCACTAAAAAGGAGACAGAATTCAAGAATTATTAGGAAAATACTAAAAAAAGAAATGAGCTAACATAGTTTTGCATTTAGATGTTCTTGGTGTGCTCACATCTTAAATACTGGATGCAGTTCAGTTCTCCCCTCTCAAAGAAAACCGGAGTGCTGATAAGGATCAATACATAGGATGGTTTGAATATAAAGAATAATTAAATAGATAATTATTTTTTTCTATGTAAAGACAGATAGGCAAAGAATATGATAATAACATGTAGCATAGGAAAACAAAATGATTGCTCCCTGTGTGTTATCATCTGCCAGATAGGTGACTTCAAATAAATAATCAGAGAAATTGATGGATTAAAAGAGTTGTTAGGAGTTATAACAGGCAGGGATACAACCATTAGCTGGTGGTTAGCTACAAATCCTTAGATGTTGGGATTTTTTGAGGAAGCATCTTGCTCTGGTCTGTGCTCCTCTCTGTGAACTTACTTAGACAGTGATAGAGATACTGGGTTGAGTGGTCCTTTAGTCTGACATTTTCAGCACAGCCTTTATGATACAGCCTTTAGTTTTTTACATCATCTCTGTCAAGGGTGTTGGACGGTGGTTTACACTAAATGATTGGGTGCCTTGGGAAGGTAAAGTGAATCAGTTGGAAAGACACCACAGCAATGGCCCCTGGAGTCTGTCGCCAGGAGAGTTGTTTCAAGGTTTGGTGTTCAATACGGACCTGCCTGTAGCACAGGTGATGAAGAGGGACCAGATCTCGTGCCACCAGCCAGTGAGAGGAGGAGTGTATTCCACCTCACTGCAAACACCACTGTACCCTTCGGTGAGGGAGATGAGGTGTGTGCCACAAAGCCAAAGGCACATGTGCACGCTGTGCTGCTCCTCAGCTGTTGTGGTGCTGGCAACAGCAGGACTTCGGGCTGGAGCTGCCCTCACTCCTCACTGGTAACACGGGCTTATAGTGTGAGAAACTGCTGGCATTGCAGACAGGGAAAGGAGTGGGCCAACCCAAGGCTAAAATAGCAATGCAGTAACAAGAGGGACTACAAGGAAAAGATGTGAACAGGGAGTGTGGGGTACTCCCTGTAGTTGAAAATTTTAAAGGACAGTGGTGGGGATGTGCTGACCGAGGCTGAAATTCTCAAGTAAGGATAGGGTCAGCAAAACAGAGGCCAGTGAGGAAAGAGTAAAACAGGGTGGCTTGCTTATTTAGGGGGTGTGTGTGGAAGGGATATGAAATAAAGCAGACAGGGCTGTTGTAGTGTCCCTGTTGAGCCTGATCACTGCAGCCTGGAGCAGGACAGACCACATATCCCCAGGAGGCTTGTTTTGTTTCCTGCAGGATTTCTGCCTCACTCGATGCACAGGAAGAACAGTGTTTGCTTACTAAGTAGCTATTCATGATGCTACTTCTTTCTCATTGTTTTGCATGAAGCATCTACCTATACTTCACTCACTGCAGTTTAGTTAGATCCCTTTTGAAAAGTTAAGTTGGAATTTTCTCATGGGCGTGTGATGGTTACAAGTATATCTGTCTCTTCATTAATAGTTTTCTTTACAAAATCTTTGAGATAAGTTTTGCCTTCCTCTTACAGAAGTGGATGTAGGGCACGAGGAGAATAAAATTGAAATTAGCGTTGGGTGCCTGATTTAAGAAAACTGGAAGGTAATTCTTCAAAGAATTCAGCATGATACTTCACTATGCATATTGACAGTGGGTGGCAGATCCAACTGCTGTGTGTTTCTGCATGCTGGGAATGTAAGTAGCTTTTATTCAGAAAATGAGACACTGACATTCCAAACAGAGGTAACATGGTGTTTCAGGGGCCTAGTCAGCATACCAGGCAAGGGACTTCTAGAAAAGGCAGGCATAAAACTGTATTCTCCAGCATACCAATGCAACTGCATTTACTGCACAAAGCTGTTCTTACTATTGCAGTA